GATGTTGGGGTATCTTTGACCTTTAGGGCTCTTGTCTTCTCCTGTATGCAGAGCTGCTGAGTACTGATAGCCACATGGAGCCATCTTCTTTTATAGACCCAAAAAGAGGAACTTTACAAAGGCAGAAGGAAATGATGCTGGTATTTCCATGCAGTGATTACAGCTTCAGCACTTACAGGTGAAACCAAAGATGACAAATCTTTTTCTATAGCACTGAATAGCTGAAGATAAAAGAAAAGAAAGAATAATTGTTGCAGAGCTGGCCATCACAGAAACATTGATAATGGTAATGTTGATGATGAGAAAAGGTCAATTTAACCAACTTGCTGGTTTATTACATTTTTTATTGACAGCAAGGGCAAAATCTCCTCTTTACAGATCCCAGTTTTCCCCCCTCCACTAAGTCTCACCACTTCTGCTGCATTCAACGGTACATAAAGTATAAATGGAATATTCCACAGGTGAACAGGGAAACCTCCTGATAATGGCTCTGGTGGGTAAGCAGCAGAGTTGAGAATTTAGGTACAAAACTGGTGTCACTGGTAGTGTAACTCAAAATTTTATTTTTTTTAATATAATAATAGCTTCCATAGTGGAGTTAGGTCCCTTTTACAGTTTTGCCAATGCTGATCTGTTCCCACTGTTGAATGCTACATTATCCTATTATTTGGCAGTGAAGAACTCCTCCTGTTGTTTCTAGGAGGAGGTAAGGAAGAGTCACCAGTTTTTCATCAATGGCAGTAGCACCTACATCAACACAAGGCAACTTGTGAAAACAGATGACACCCCTTCCCCCTGTCCTCCTCCTACCTGTCTCGATGGCCTACTCCTGTCCTGATCTCCCCCTTCCTGCTGCCCCCCCTCCTCCTGCTGCCTCCTTCCTGTCCTGCTGCCCCCATCACGCTGACCCCCTCCTGTCCCACGACCTCCCCCTGCCATGTCACACTGCCCTCCATCATGCTCCTGTACTGAAGAGGTGGATCTTAAACAGCAAGGGGAGAGATAAATGTAGATGGGGGGTGGTCGATTTTAGTCTTGCCTAGGGCAGCAAAAAAGTAAAATACACTACTATGCGGCGGGGTCGATGCTGGGACTGCAGGGATGGGTCAGTATGTGGGGACTGCAGGGATGGGTCAGTATGTGGGGACTGCAGGGATGGGTCAGTATGGGACTGCAGGGTCAGTATGTGGGGATTGCAGGGATGGGTCAGTATGTGGGGATTGCAGGGATGGGTCAGTGGGGATGTGTGGGGATTGCAGGGATGGGTCAGTATGTGGGGATCGCAGGGATGGGTCAGTATGGGATCGCAGGGATGGGTCAGTATGTGGGGATCGGGGATGGGGGTATGTGGGGTGCAGGGATGGGTCAGTATGTGGGGATGCGCAGGGATGGGTCAGTATGTGGGGATCGCAGGGATGGGTCAGTATGTGGGGATTGCAGGGATGGGTCAGTATGTGGGGATTGCAGGGATGGGTCAGTATGTGGGGATTGCAGGGATGGGTCAGTATGTGGGGATCGCAGGGATGGGTCAGTATGTGGGGATTGCAGGGATGGGTCAGTATGTGGGGATCGCAGGGATGGGTCAGTATGTGGGGATTGCAGGGATGGGTCAGTATGTGGGGATTGCAGGGATGGGTCAGTATGTGGGGATTGCAGGGATGGGTCAGTATGTGGGGATCGCAGGGATGGGTCAGTATGTGGGGATGGGGGATGGGTCAGTATGTGGGGATTGCAGGGATGGGTCAGTATGTGGGGACTGCAGGGATGGGTCAGTATGTGGGGACTGCAGGGATGGGGTGGGTATGTGGGGATTGCAGGGATGGGTCAGTATGTGTGGGGATTGCAGGGATGGGTCAGTATGTGTGGGGATTGGGATGGGGTATGTGGGGGCAGGGATGGGTATGTGGGGATCGCAGGGATGGGTCAGTATGTGGGGGGGATGGGCAGTATGTGGGGGATGGGTCAGTATGTGGGGATTGCAGGGGGATGGGTCAGTATGTGGGGATTGCAGGGATGGGTCAGTATGTGGGGGGATTGCAGGGATGGGTCAGTATGTGGGGATTGCAGGGATGGGTCAGTATGTGGGGATGCAGGGATGGGTCAGTATGTGGGGATTGCAGGGATGGGTCAGTATGGGGGGGGGCAGGGATGGGTCAGGTGTGGGGGATGCAGGGATGGGTCAGTATGTGGGGATCGCAGGGATGGGTCAGTATGTGGGGATTGCAGGGATGGGTCAGTATGTGGGGATGCAGGGATGGGTATGTGGGGATTGCAGGGATGGGTCAGTATGTGGGGATCGCAGGGATGGGTCAGTATGTGGGGATGGGAGGGATGGGTCAGTAGTATGGGGGATCGCAGGGATGGGTCAGTATGTGGGGATTGCAGGGATGGGTCAGTATGTGGGGATTGCAGGGATGGGTCAGTATGTGGGGATTGCAGGGATGGGTCAGTATGTGGGGATTGCAGGGATGGGTCAGTATGTGGGGGGATGGGTCAGTATGTGGGGGCAGGGATGGGCAGGGATGGGTCAGTATGTGGGGATGCAGGGGATGGGTCAGTATGTGGGGGGATCGCAGGGATGGGTCAGTATGTGGGGATCGCAGGGATGGGTCAGTATGTGGGGATCGCAGGGATGGGTCAGTATGTGGGGATTGCAGGGATGGGTCAGTATGTGTGGGGATCGCAGGGATGGGTCAGTATGTGGGGATCGCAGGGATGGGTCAGTATGTGGGGATCGCAGGGATGGGTCAGTATGTGGGGATCGCAGGGGATGGGTCAGTGTGTGGGGATCGCAGGGATGGGTCAGTATGTGGGGGATGCAGGGATGGGTCAGTATGTGGGGATCGCAGGGATGGGTCAGTATGTGGGGATCGCAGGGATGGGTCAGTGTCAGTATGTGGGGATCAGGGCAGGGATGGGGTCAGTATGTCAGTATGGGGATGCAGGGATGGGTCAGTATGTGGGGATGGGGGATGGGTCAGTATGTGGGGATCGCAGGGATGGGTCAGTATGTGGGGATCGCAGGGATGGGTCAGTATGTGGGGATGGCAGGATGGGTCAGTATGTGGGGGATGCAGGGATGGGTCAGTATGGGGGGGATGCAGGGATGGGTCAGTATGTGGGGATTGGGATGGGGATGGGTCAGTATGTGGGGATTGCAGGGATGGGTCAGTATGTGGGGGATTGCAGGGATGGGTCAGTATGTGGGGATCGCAGGGATGGGTCAGTATGTGGGGATCGCAGGGATGGGTCAGTATGTGGGGATCGCAGGGATGGGTCAGTATGTGGGGATTGCAGGGATGGGTCAGTATGTGGGGATTGCAGGGATGGGTCAGTATGTGGGGATCGCAGGGATGGGTCAGTATGTGGGATCGCAGGGATGGGGTCAGTATGTGGGGTGGGGATTGCAGGGATGGGTCAGTATGTGGGATCGCAGGGATGGGTCAGTATGTGGGGATGCAGGGGGGATGGGTCAGTATGTGGGGGATGGGCAGGGAGGGGTCAGTATGTGGGGATGCAGGGATGGGTCAGTATGTGGGGATCGCAGGGATGGGTCAGTATGTGGGGATCGCAGGGATGGGTCAGTATGTGGGGATCGCAGGGATGGGTCAGTATGTGTGGATGGGGGATGGGGTCAGTATGTGGGGGATCGCAGGGATGGGTCAGTATGTGGGGATCGCAGGGATGGGTCAGTATGTGGGGATCGCAGGGATGGGTCAGTATGTATGTGGGGATCGCAGGGATGGGTCAGTATGTGGGGATCGCAGGGATGGGTCAGTATGTGGGGGTGCAGGGATGGGTCAGTGTGGGGGGATGGGCAGGGATGGGTCAGTATGTGGGGATCGCAGGGATGGGTCAGTATGTGGGGATGGGCAGGGATGGGTCAGTCAGTATGGGGATCAGGCAGGGGGGGGTCGCAGGGATGGGGTATGTGGGGGATCAGGGATGGGTCAGTATGATGGGGATGGGTCAGTGCAGGGATTGCAGGGATGGTCAGTATGTGGGGATTGCAGGGATGGGTCAGTATGGGGTGTGCAGGATGGGTCAGTATGTGGGGATTGCAGGGATGGGTCAGTATGTGGGGATTGCAGGGATGGGTCAGTATGTGGGGGGATTGGGTCAGGGATGGGTGGGTATGTGGGGATTGCAGGGATGGGTCAGTATGTGGGGATTGCAGGGGGATGGGTCAGTATGTGGGGATTGCAGGGATGGGTCAGTATGTGGGGATTGCAGGGATGGGGGTATGTGGGGATTGCAGGGATGGGTCAGTATGTGGGGTGCAGGGATGGGTCAGTATGTGGGGATTGCAGGGATGGGTCAGTATGTGGTGGATGGGAGGATGGGTCAGTGTTGTCTGTGATGGATACTACCAGCACTGATCTCCTCCCACTTCCAGCTCATACATGGGTATGGGGAGCCCTCTCTGTATATGGGTGACACACCATTCCTTCCCCCAGTGAGGACCCCTTTGACCCCATCCTTCCCCCCACCCCCTCCCATCCTCACCCACCTACCTGTCTTCTGGATGGTACTGACAGCGCCTGCTGCTCACTGCACCCATCATCTGATACTTCATGTCCGTGTCCCCTCGCCCTTCACTTGCCGACATCGTTCCACCACCTTTACGCATTTGGGCGTCCATGTTGGCGGCTCACGGCTCTTCCACTATGAGGCTGACGGTACTTCACGTCCAATCAGATTGCCAGCATGGGGGGGAGGGGCTCTGTAAGACATAAACAGTGAGTTGTATGACGATCCGCCATCGTTAGCGCCCACCCAAGCAATCATGTGACCATCATGGTGTGGGGCGAAAGTCAGACATGATTGAAGAGCGATCTCCACCAATCTGATCTGACAATGTGTGCTGTGCTCATACAATCCTCCACAATTTGACCTTTCTATTACATCCGGGACCACCTAGTAAATGGCGGCTGTATTGTAGGCAGGTTCCCTTAATGGGACCTGGGGGGGTCAGAGGTCACTGGCAATCTGCACAGGCCGGGCTCCCTGCTTTGAATCTGCAGCATATAGACCCCTCTGATAAAACAAGAACACAGACTGCCCGGACCCTCAGCCATTTGTTATCTGATTGACCGACATGAAGCCGCCTCTACCCCCCTTACATGGACTGTTCCGATTGGAGTGCCTTTTTACATGGACTCATCCCATCGGAGTGCCCCTTTACATGCACTGTTCCCATCGGAGTGCCCCCTTACATGGACTGTTCCCATCGGAGTGCCCCCTTACATGGACTGTTCCCATCGGAGTGCCCCCTTACATGGACTGTCCCATCCCATCGGAGTGCCCCCTTTACATGGACTGATCCCATCGGAGTGCCCCCTTACATGACTGATCCCATCGGAGTGCCCCCTTACATGCACTGATCCCATCGGAGTGCCCCCTTACATGCACTGATCCCATCGGAGTGCCCCCCCTTTACATGGATCTGTGCCCCTTTACATCCCGGAGTGCCCCCTTACATGCACTGATCCCATCGGAGTGCCCCTTTACATGGACTGTTCCCATCGGAGTGCCCCTTTACACATGACTGTTCCCATCGGAGTGCCCCCTTACATGGACTGTTCATCGGAGTGCCCCCTTTACATGCACTGATCCCATCGGAGTGCCCCCTTACATGCACTGATCCCATCGGAGTGCCCCTTTACATGCACTGATCCCATCGGAGTGCCCCCTTTACATGACTGATCCCCACTGTTCCCATCGGACTGTGTGCCCCTTTACATGGACTGTTCCCATCGGAGTGCCCCTTTACATGGACTGATCCCATCGGAGTGTTCCCATCATGGACTGTTCCCATCGGAGTGCCCCCCTTACATGGACTGTTCCCATCGGAGTGCCCCCTTTACATGACTGTTCCCATCGGAGTGCCCCCTTACATGGACTGATCCCATCGGAGTGCCCCCTTTTACATGGACTGTTCCCATCGGAGTGCCCCCTTTACATGGACTGATCCCATCGGAGTGCCCCCTTACCCACTGTTCCCATCGGAGTGCCCCCTTACATGACTGATCCCATCGGAGTGCCCCCTTACATGGACTGATCCCATCGGAGTGTGCCCCCTTTACATGGACTGTTCCCATCGGAGTGCCCCCTTACATGCACTGATCCCATCGGAGTGCCCCTTTACATGGACTGTTCCCATCGGAGTGCCCCCTTACATGGACTGTTCCCATCGGAGTGCCCCCTTACATGCACTGATCCCATCGGAGTGCCCCCTTACATGGACTGTTCCCATCGGAGTGCCCCCTTACATGGACTGTTCCCATCGGAGTGCCCCCTTACATGGACTTCCCATCGGGAGTGCCCCCTTACATGCACTGATCCCATCGGAGTGCCCCCTTACATGGACTGTTCCCATCGGAGTGCCCCCCTTACATGCACTGATCCCATCGGAGTGCCCCCTTACATGGACTGTTCCCATCGGAGTGCCCCCTTACATGGACTGATCCCATCGGAGTGCCCCCTTACATGCACTGATCCCATCGGAGTGCCCCCTTACATGCACTGATCCCATCGGAGTGCCCCCTTACATGGACTGATCCCATCGGAGTGCCCCCTTACATGGACTGATCCCATCGGAGTGCCCCTTTACATGGACTGTTCCCATCGGAGTGTGCCCCCTTACATGGACTGATCCCATCGGAGTGCCCCCTTTACATGGACTGTTCCCATCGGAGTGCCCCCTTACATACTGTTCCCATCGGAGTGCCCCCTTACATGGACTGTTCCCATCGGAGTGCCCCCCATGCACTGTTCCCATCGGAGTGCCCCTTACATGTTCCCATCGGAGTGCCCCCTACATACATGGACTGTTCCCATCGGAGTGCCCCCTTACATGGACTGTTCCCATCGGAGTGCCCCCTTACATGGACTGTTCCCATCGGAGTGCCCCCTTACATGGACTGTTATCCCATCGGAGTGCCCCTTTTACATGGACTGATCCCATCGGAGTGCCCCCTTACATGGACTGATCCCATCGGAGTGCCCCCTTACATGCACTGTTCCCATCGGAGTGCCCCCTTACATGGACTGTTCCCATCGGAGTGCCCCTTTACATGGACTGTTCCCATCGGAGTGCCCCCTTACATGGACTGTTCCCATCGGAGTGCCCCTTTACATGGACTGTTCCCATCGGAGTGCCCCCTTTACATGGACTGTCCCCATCGGAGTGCCCCCTTACATGCACTGATCCCATCGGAGTGCCCCTTTACATGGACTGTGATCCCATCGGAGTGCCCCTTTACATGGACTGATCCCATCGGAGTGCCCCCTTTACATGGACTGATCCCATCGGAGTGCCCCCTTACATGGACTGATCCCATCGGAGTGCCCCCCCTTACATGGACTGTTTCCCATCGGAGTGCCCCCTTACCCATCCCCTTACATGGACTGTTCCCATCGGAGTGCCCCCTTACATGGACTGTTCCCATCGGAGTGCCCCCTTACATGGACTGATCCCATCGGAGTGCCCCCTTTACATGGACTGATCCCATCGGAGTGCCCCCTTACATGGACTGATCCCATCGGAGTGCCCCCTTACATGGACTGTTCCCATCGGAGTGCCCCCTTACATGCACTGATCCCATCGGAGTGCCCCCCTTACATGGACTGTTCCCATCGGAGTGCCCCCTTACATGGACTGTTCCCATCGGAGTGCCCCCTTACATGCACTGATCCATCGGAGTGCCCCCCTTACATGGACTGTTCCCATCGGAGTGCCCCCTTACATGGACTGTTCCCATCGGAGTGCCCCCTTACATGGACTGTTCCCATCGGAGTGCCCCCTTACATGGACTGTTCCCATCGGAGTGCCCCCTTACATGCACTGTTCCCATCGGAGTGCCCCCTTACATGGACTGTTCCCATCGGAGTGCCCCCTTACATGGACTGTTCCCATCGGAGTGCCCCCTTTACATGGACTGTTCCCATCGGAGTGCCCCCTTTACATGGACTGATCCCATCGGAGTGCCCCCTTACACATGATCCCCACTGAGTGCCCCATCCCATCGGAGTGCCCCCCCTTACATGGACTGTTCCCATCGGAGTGCCCCCTTACATGGACTGATCCCATCGGAGCCCCCCCCTTTACATGGACTGTTCCCATCGGAGTGCCCCCTTACATGCACTGATCCCATCGGAGTGCCCCTTTACATGGACTGTTCCCATCGGAGTGCCCCCTTACATGGACTGTTCCCATCGGAGTGCTACATGACTGTTCCCATCGGAGTGCCCCCTTACATGGACTGTTCCCATCGGAGTGCCCCCTTACATGGACTGTTCCCATCGGAGTGCCCCCTTACATGACTGTTCCCATCGGAGTGCCCCCTTACATGCACTGTTCCCATCGGAGTGCCCCCTTACATGGACTGATCCCATCGGAGTGCCCCCTTACATGGACTGATCCCATCGGAGTGCCCCCTTACATGGACTGATCCCATCGGAGTGCCCCCTTACATGCACTGTTCCCATCGGAGTGCCCCCTTACATGCATGGACTGTTCCCATCGGAGTGCCCCCTTACATGGACTGTTCCCATCGGAGTGAGCCCCTTACATGGACTTACATGACCCTTACATGGACTGTTCCCATCGGAGTGCCCCCTTACATGGACTGATTCCCATCGGAGTGCCCCCCTTACATGGACTGATCCCATCGGAGTGCCCCCTTTACACACTGATCCCATCGGAGTGCCCCCCTTACATGCATCCCATCGGAGTGCCCCTTTACATGACTGATCCCATCGGAGTGCCCCTTACATGCATCCACCCACTGATCCCATCGGAGTGCCCCCTTTACATGCACTGATCCCATCGGAGTGCCCCCTTACATGGACTGTTCCCATCGGAGTGCCCCCTTACATGGACTGTTCCCATCGGAGTGCCCCCTTACATGGACTGTTCCCATCGGAGCCCCCCCCCTTACATGGACTGTTCCCATCGGAGTGCCCCCCTTACATGGACTGTTCCCATCGGAGTGCCCCCTTACATGCTGTTCCCATCGGAGCCCCCTTACATGCATGGACTGTTCCCATCGGAGTGCCCCCTTTACATGGACTGACATCCCATCGGAGTGCCCCCTTACATGGACTGTCCCCCATCGGAGTGCCCCCTTACATGGACTGTTCCCATCGGAGTGCCCCCTTACATGGACTGTTCCCCCATCGGAGTGCCCCCCTTACATGACTGTTCCCATCGGAGTGCCCCCTTACATGCACTGTTCCCATCGGAGTGCCCCCTTACATGGACTGTTCCCATCGGAGTGCCCCCTTACATGGACTGTTCCCATCATGGAGTGCCCCCTTACATGGACTGTTTCCCATCGGAGTGCCCCCTTTTACATGGACTGATCCCATCGGAGTGCCCCTTTACATGGACATCCCACTGATCCCATCGGAGTGCCCCCTGTTCCCATACATGCCCCCCTTACATGACTGTTCCCATCGGAGTGCCCCCTTACATGGACTGTTCCCATCGGAGTGCCCCCTTACATGGACTGATCCCATCGGAGTGCCCCCTTACATGCACTGATCCCATCGGAGTGCCCCCCTTACATGGACTGTTCCCATCGGAGTGCCCCTGCCCCCTTACATGGACTGTTCCCATCGGAGTGCCCCCTTACATGACTGTTCCCATCGGAGTGCCCCCTTACATGGACTGTTCCCATCGGCCCCCCCCTTACATGGACTGTTCCCATCGGAGTGCCCCCTTACATGGACTGTTCCCATCGGAGTGCCCCCTTTACATGGACTGATCCCATCGGAGTGCCCCCTTACATGACTGATCCCATCGGAGTGCCCCCTTACATGGACTGATCCCCCGGAGTGCCCCCTTACATGATCCCACTGTTCCCATCGGAGTGCCCCTTTACATGACTGTTCCCATCGGAGTGCCCCCTTACATGGACTGTTCCCATCGGAGTGCCCCCTTACATGGACTGTTCCCATCGGAGTGCCCCCCTTACATGGACTGTTCCCATCGGAGTGCCCCCTTACATGGACTGTTCCCATCGGAGTGCCCCCTTACATGGACTGATCCCATCGGAGTGCCCCCTTACATGGACTGATCCCATCGGAGTGCCCCCTTACATGGACTGATCCCATCGGAGTGCCCCCTTACATGCACTGATCCCATCGGAGTGCCCCCCTTACATGGACTGATCCCATCGGAGTGCCCCCTTTACATGACTGTTCCCATCGGAGTGCCCCCTTACATGCACTGTTCCCATCGGAGTGCCCCCTTACATGCACTGATCCCATCGGAGTGCCCCCTTACATGCACTGACTGTTCCCATCGGAGTGCCCCCTTACACACTGATCCCATCGGAGTGCCCCCTTACATGGACTCCCATCGGAGTGCCCCCTTACATGGACTGTTCCCATCGGAGTGCCCCCTTACATGCACTGTTCCCATCGGAGTGCCCCCTTACATGGACTGTTCCCATCGGAGTGCCCCCTTACATGGACTGTTCCCATCGGAGTGCCCCCTTTACATGGACTGTTCCCATCGGAGTGCCCCCCTTACATGGACTGTTCCCATCGGAGTGCCCCCCTTACATGCACTGATCCCATCGGAGTGCCCCCTTTACATGCACTGATCCCATCGGAGTGCCCCCCCTTACATGACTGTTCCCATCGGAGTGCCCCCTTACATGCACTGATCCCATCGGAGTGCCCCCTTACATGGACATGTTCCCATCGGAGTGCCCCCATACATGGACTGAGTTCCCATCGGAGTGCCCCCTTACATGGACTGTTCCCATCGGAGTGCCCCCTTACATGGACTGTTCCCATCGGAGTGCCCCCTTACATGCACTGATCCCATCGGAGTGCCCCCTTTACATGGACTGTTCCCATCGGAGTGCCCCCTTACAATCGGAGTGACTGTTCCCATCGAGTGCCCCCTTTACATGACTGTTCCCATCGGAGTGCCCCCTTACATGACTGTTCCCATCGGAGTGCCCCCCTTACATGACTGTTCCCATCGGAGTCCCCCCCCCTTACATGGACTGTTCCCATCGGAGTGCCCCCTTACATGGACTGTTCCCATCGGAGCCCCTTTACATGGACTGATCCCATCGGAGTGCCCCCTTACATGGACTGTTCCCATCGGAGTGCCCCCTTACATGGACTGTTCCCATCGGAGTGCCCCCTTACATGACTGATCCCATCGGAGTGCCCCCTTACATGGACTGTTCCCATCGGAGTGCCCCTTTACATGGACTGATCCCATCGGAGTGCCCCCTTACATGGACTGATTCCCATCGGAGTGCCCCCTTTACATGGACTGTTCCCATCGGAGTGCCCCTTTACATGCACTGTTCCCATCGGAGTGCCCCCTTACATGGACTGTTCCCATCGGAGTGCCCCCTTACATGGACTGTTCCCATCGGAGTGCCCCCTACATGGACTGTTCCCATCGGAGTGCCCCCTTACATGACTGTTCCCATCGGAGTGCCCCCTTTTACATGGACTGTTCCCATCGGAGTGCCCCCTTACATGGACTGTTCCCATCGGAGTGCCCCCTTTACATGGACTGTTCCCATCGGAGCCCCCCCCTTACATGGACTGTTCCCATCGGAGTGCCCCCTTACATGGACTGTTCCCATCGGAGTGCCCCTTACATTACATGGACTGTTCCCATCGGAGTGTGCCCCCCCCTTACATGACTGTTCCCATCGGAGTGCCCCCTTACATGGACTGTTCCCATCGGTGCCCCCCTTACATGGACTGTTCCCATCGGAGTGCCCCCTTTACATGGACTGTTCCCATCGGAGTGCCCCCTTACATGGACTGATCCCATCGGAGTGCCCCCTTACATGGACTGTTCCCATCGGAGTGCCCCCTTTACATGACTGTTCCCATCGGAGTGCCCCCTTACATGGACTGTTCCCATCGGAGTGCCCCCTTACATGGACTGTTCCCATCGGAGTGCCCCCTTACATGGACTGTTCCCATCGGAGTGCCCCCCCCTTTACATGGACTTTCCCATCGGAGTGCCCCCTTACATGGACTGTTCCCATCGGAGTGCCCCCTTTACATGGACTGTTCCCATCGGAGTGCCCCCTTACATG